GTAAACTATTAATGCTAGCGACAAACTTTTATACAGAAATTGTAGATCTCGTCGCTCTCTACAAGAAAGGTCCTATGCAATTTTCCCGTAGGACCAACGGTTTAGGAGTAATTGAGGAAAAACGAAATTTGTTGTCAAAAGTTCGCCATTTCGACGCTGGGATGGTCGGATTTTGTCAACATCAATAAAATGCCGATTAATCGTACGTAACTCGTTAAATACTTGAGTTAGAAGAAAAATGCATAGAAACTTTCTTTGTAGAGGATATCAGTACCTACGACTTTCGTATAAAAAGCTTTTCGCCAGCGTCAACAATTAATTGAATATTTCCTTCTATACTTTTTAGCACAATAGCTATTTATTATTAGCATTGTTCTTCCGTCGTCTGATTTCTTTTTAATTATAGGAAATGCGTTTTTCTAAGATACATAAACTTTTGGGATTGACTGTATAGCCAATACATCCTTATTCTGAAGAAAGCTGTGGTAGCCGTAGAAGAAAGTAACAAAAGAAGGTATATCGATAATGCGCTCCTCCTAGAGCGGTCGGTGATAAGAACCGATAACCTAAGTTGAAACTTCTATCAATCAGTCGGATGCGCGACGCTTTCTATGCACCAAGCATACAATCACCGATTGGAACAACTGTCGCAGCGTCTTTTTGATAGATTTTAGAACTTTATCCCAACGGTTGCAAGCAAATCCAAAGGCAACCATGCCGACCGTACACGCGTGCCTGCCGTTCGTTACGTGGAACACAAAATTGCTGAAGAAATCGTCAAGGCCGACCTGGGTCAGCCTGAGGCTGGGTAGCGATCAGAAGGGTGTGCTTGCGCCAAAGGACGAGGTGGTCAGGTTCATCAGCGATTGTATGCGGAAAGCCGGCGCGAAATCCGACGACGGTCACATCGTCGGGCATCACTTGATGACCGCCGACTACCGCGGTCACTTCAGCCATGGCATGAACAGGCTCACGCTCTACGTGAAAGACCTTGAAAGTGGAATGACCGATGCCAAGGCCGAGCCAGAAGTCGTCAAAGATTGTAAGGTAGAAAGATCGTTTCGAAGAGGAGATAATTTTATTAAAAAAAATTATTTAATTCAATCAATATCGATAGATAGATATTTATTTATATTTGCTTCCCAGCTCAGAAATGAACTTGACTTGCAATATCTTCCCTGACATACAACTATCTCTCTATGTACAACCTGGGACAATGATTCTCGATCTGTTTTTGAGTGTTAGTTTTCAATGCTCGTGTACATGATTCCTATTACAAAACGAAGTTAAAGAAATGCATTATTCTATTTAGATTAAGAATTCAATTCTAAAGTGACTAAACACGTAAATTGTTAAAATTATTAAACCAATGAAAGCTAATAACATATTTTTATTTCTCTATTAACTTTTTATTTATACATTGACAGCTTTGAATTATATAATCGCCTTAAGTTTAAGAAACTATCGCACCCTGTCGCGAAGTTCTGGACCGGTTTTTCCAGGCCGTGGCGCTGGTCAGCGGGAACAATGCCCTCGGTCAGGTGATCGGTAACTTCTGCATGGAATTGGCCATAAAGAAGGCCAAGAAATTCGGCATAGGAATGGTAAGCGCACGTGGCTCGAACCATTACGGCATCTGCGCGTACTACACGAGCATGGCCATCGAGCAACAGCTCATAGGCTTTACCTGCACGAACACCAGCCCCTTGATGGCCCCTACTCGTAGCAAAAAGTCGGCTCTTGGGACGAATCCTTTGTCCCTTGGAATGGGCGCCAAATGCGGTGATGAATTTCTCCTTGACATGGCCACCACAGCCGTAGCGTTAGGGAAAATCGAGTTAGCTGTCAGGAAAAAGGAAAATATACCTGAAGGATGGGCGCTTGGAAGCGATGGGAAAGTCACTACCAACTCCGAAGAAGCGTTCAAGGCTGCCACTCTGATGCCTCTCGGAGGGGAGGAACGGAATTCGGGTTACAAAGGTTACGGTCTGGCACTAATGGTCGAAGTACTTTGTGGTATTCTATCTGGCTCGCAGTTTGGACCTAACATCAGAAAATGGACAGACAAAAAGAAGATAGCAGATCTTGGCCACTGTTTCATGGCCATAGATCCAGAAGCTTTTGGCTGTGGGTCGAAGGCCAGGTTGACTGAGCTGCTTCAACAGTTGAGGGAGTTGCCTAAAATCGGTGACAAGCCTGTCCTAGTTCCTGGCGATCCGGAAAGGGCGCATATGATGAAGGTTGATAAGGAAGGTGGGATAGAGTATCATGCTAACATGATAATAGCCTGCGAGGAGTTGGCTAAGCACATGGGTGTCAAGCCCATGAAACTCATTGCTAAGAAAAATTAGAAACTTGCTCGATTCGAATTCATTTCAGAGTTCGTTTTTTATGCTAAGGGTCCAAGATTCATCGTAGTCTGCGAATGATATGTGCGTACGAATTACTATTATTTACGCACGAGTTATTAACAATTCGACTACGTCAGTTGGTGACATATTTCTATCAGCTTGTCCAGCTAATCTAAACTTTCGACGTAGCATGGAACTGATTTCGAATGCAAGTTCATGCACTTAGCACTGGGTTTCTAATTACCACTGGAAATTGAAACGTCAACTCAGATACCACGAAATTCTTCGACAATTTTTATTTGTATTACCATTTTTAGATCTGTTTATATAATAATTTTTAGACTTATTTGTAAAACAATTTTAAAGTCATTTATATGACCATTTTAAGAATATTTAATAATCTTTACTTATCAAATACTTGGACGAGTTTACAAATTTTTATATTATATGAAATATCATATATAATTGTATAAGAGAATTATACACAGTTATTATATATTCTATTAATAATTCTATACAGTATATTTATAATCATGTATATAGTTTGAAATACAAAAGTATTTTATACAAGTATAACATGTTTTTCATTTTATCGTTAAGATGGTTCTATTAAAATGCAAGGCATTACAGATCGTTAGTAGATACTTACTAAACTAGATACACAATTTGTTCTTGCTTTCCTTCGAAGATCTAAAAAATCTTCGTAATCTATAAGAAATTATCATTAAGAAACTCGAAATCCTAATGTAATTTGACTCCAAACGCGATTTTATCCGATACACAATGTCACTCTAATACACGACCCTGCCCTCATACATGAAATTTTAAACAAACCCTTTGTAGTGGCATCAAAGAATGGTTAATATTAGAAAAAAATAACGAAACTAATATCGAGAGAAGAAATAATAGAGACTCAATATTTCTTTTAAATTAAACTGCAAGAATCAAGCTTTCATTCGCTATGAACGACATCATTGAAAAAATCATCGAAGTCCGTGCACGTTGTCAAAAACTTTACTAATTTTCAAATCTCGAACATGACCATAGATATTGTTGCCAGTTCGTGGTAGAAAATTTTAATCAGTGATCAGTCTCAAGATTAACGTTCTGGATTTTAAATACAGAGTTAACGCGTAAACATCCGCAGTCTGTTAACCATAGGGAACGAATTGGGCCTGGTTAATAATGTGTTTTGCATTTCGTGCATGTTTGCGACAGGAAAGGAACGAGTTCAGTTGGTCGCGTGACAGTATCGACGATTTGATGATGGAAACAATGATATAATATCGCGTATTGCGGTCTGATCGTTGGTCTATGATGACGACGACGGCGGCCTTGGACTTGCTCGCGAGATCTCGATTCCACTCGTTACTGTGCAAAATGATCGGTGATTACCGATAGACAGGATGGAACCAGACCGGTGAACAACAACCGAGCCATTTGCATAATCGGGACGATAGATCCCGGAATCTAGGATCTCGTGTCCATTGATCTGATCGTACGTTCGCGAAGCGTGAAGAAATTCTAGCTGCGAATCACGTGTGTAGTTATAAGCCTTTGGTTCCCAATCGAAATTCATTTTAAAAAATTCAAATATATTTCATGTTTTTGTCTCCACGTGTATTCGTACTCATTTCAGAATTGAACAGCTTTTTTATGGTTTTTTCTGTCTACATAATCTCCGCAAAAATTAGTGCTTCTTTTAAGTACAGTGGATTCTTTAATTAACTACTCGAGTTAAAAGATATATTATAATTGAAGCTTAAAATTTATTAATACAAGAATATAATATTTTCAATTTTATATCGTCAGTCAACAATGACTGACATTGCGTTTAACTTGTTAAATTTATATAATTATTAAAGTAGTTCGATTGCTTTCTTCTCTTCATTTTAATCTCACCTAATTGTACCTCATTTTCAATTGCTATTTATAATAATATTTATTTTACTGTCTTGAACAACTTTTAAGGAATATTCAAGTTATTTGGTCCAATATTAACAAAATTATTCCATTATGAAAGTATCCCCGACTGTATGTTTAATTTTTTGTAGAGCGCACAGAAATCATTTTTTATAAGAGATCATAATCGAAGGTCTTCAAATTTTCCACGCCGTTAATTGGCTCGCTTGTTAATTTTTAGGTAATTCGTTCGGTAAATCGAAGTTTGTTAAAGCCGTGTCCTTGTTCCACTAGCCAGGATATGGCTTCACCCGTTTCCATCGATTTTTATGAAACTTCGTTATAATAAAAATAAGCTAAGCTTTCTAATACCCCAAGGAATATTAAGTCTTTCCAATATTAAATCTGTATTACTTATGCAGTTCTGAAATGTGGCTCACTGTATAAATATTTGATATTTGATATTTTTATCAATCATTAGAGTATTTGTGTTTTTTTTAAATTTCGTTTTAACATTCGTGATGAAACTGATACTCGATTGTAGTAGAATCGATGTGAAGTTGATGGTCACTGGTATAATGTGTTGTGGAAGCTCGATCAACGAAATTTGATCACTCGTTACGGCAAGGCTCATAAAATCTCTCGTGACAGACGCACATTTCTAACGAGTAATTATCCCGCAAGGATGCGTTCAATACCACCGAGATTAGCCTTGTCAGCTTTCATTAGGATTAATCAGATTTGAAACATCTGATTAAAAACTGGAGACTGATTAGGTATCCACTATCTTTGTCTTTTAATCTATGTACCTGATATTTAACGAAAGGGTAGAACTTGAAATACTCGAACTTTTTTTAAGGGAGTTCTATCGATAACAGAATTAACAAGCAGATTTTAATAAAATTTCATTTTTCCAATTTTTGGTCACGTCACAATTTTCACTCACTGTCATTTTATGTATCTTAATGTTATTTCTGTAAAATTTTATGGTATCTCAATATGTCGTTTTTATATAATTTTATATTTCATCTTCATATGTTGTCTTAAAATTAAAGAAACCTAAGTCCGTGAGTAGAAATTAGGATAATTACCTTATTGCTAGATAAAGCTTTTAAAAGGATGTGTTTCCATTTGTAGAGAGAGAGAGGATTTCTTCTTTTCATTTTTACATATTTTACGTCTTTTGAGAACTTAAAACTATTAGTGTGTGTTTTTTTGTTAATAACTCAGTAACGAAAAAGGAAATCCTTGCAAAAGGAAATTGTTGTTTAGAATGGTCCACCTAATATGTCATTTTCGGCTCTAATACATTTTCTGGTACATCCTGCATATACATAACTTATTAAGTTTGATTTATTAAAAGAATTCATTTTTATCGTTTTGGATCTATACTTGAATACAATATTGAATAAACAGTTAGTTAAACTAAGTTTTTCGAGGATTCACAGAGAAGTGACTGTTTTTTTAATCATGCGACGAAGTAACACTTTTACGACGCATAAATGTTAATAATAATCGAGGGTGGGCGACCAGACCGATTTCTCTGTCTCACCAATCAGTAAACAGGGTTATCAAAGAAAGTCGTAGACTCTGAGTCTGCCTCGGCTCCGCGTTATCATTAACGTCGTTACGCTTACAATTTTATGTAGTATCAACATCAGTCAAGTGAAGATGAAGTACTAAAAAATGCAGATCCTTCATTACACACTACAATTTATAATATTTTAATATTCTAACGCAATTATGTAATAATATGTCGTGCAGTTATCAATTTAATCATTATTCAATTATGTTATGCAAAATAAATCATTTGTGTTATGAATATGAAAAATGTGACTGAATACTTTTTGTCCTCGTGATGTGCCTGCAGCTTTTGATATTTTATGTATTTTAATAGATTACATGTGTATTTCAAATTTCTGCATTTTCACTTCTTTCGTAAATGCATAAAATCCGTAGTCTAATCATTATAATATTTTTTNCTATTAGTGTGTGTTTTTTTGTTAATAACTCAGTAACGAAAAAGGAAATCCTTGCAAAAGGAAATTGTTGTTTAGAATGGTCCACCTAATATGTCATTTTCGGCTCTAATACATTTTCTGGTACATCCTGCATATACATAACTTATTAAGTTTGATTTATTAAAAGAATTCATTTTTATCGTTTTGGATCTATACTTGAATACAATATTGAATAAACAGTTAGTTAAACTAAGTTTTTCGAGGATTCACAGAGAAGTGACTGTTTTTTTAATCATGCGACGAAGTAACACTTTTACGACGCATAAATGTTAATAATAATCGAGGGTGGGCGACCAGACCGATTTCTCTGTCTCACCAATCAGTAAACAGGGTTATCAAAGAAAGTCGTAGACTCTGAGTCTGCCTCGGCTCCGCGTTATCATTAACGTCGTTACGCTTACAATTTTATGTAGTATCAACATCAGTCAAGTGAAGATGAAGTACTAAAAAATGCAGATCCTTCATTACACACTACAATTTATAATATTTTAATATTCTAACGCAATTATGTAATAATATGTCGTGCAGTTATCAATTTAATCATTATTCAATTATGTTATGCAAAATAAATCATTTGTGTTATGAATATGAAAAATGTGACTGAATACTTTTTGTCCTCGTGATGTGCCTGCAGCTTTTGATATTTTATGTATTTTAATAGATTACATGTGTATTTCAAATTTCTGCATTTTCACTTCTTTCGTAAATGCATAAAATCCGTAGTCTAATCATTATAATATTTTTTATAAGAATTTTGCTTAATGTAAAATATTTATACTCTTCAAGAGATTTTTTTAATACAAAGCAATTTTATTTCAACATATCCGTTTATGTTGGGAATTGCAAAAACACTACATGACAGCATTAAGAAAAGATACAAAAAATATTAAAGAAAATTCAAGTACAATTAAATAATACATGGTCGATCCACTTGTTTCACCGAAATTCCCTTGACTGGAGACACAGATGCATAATCATTGGGATTCGTATTCCACGCCATCCATATTGTTTATTTATTCGCGTCGCGTCCTACGACTAGAAATTGGCAAATGGAAATTTCATCGTTCGTAAAATGCACTTTCTACGTGCGCTACGTGTACTTGAGATCAATCGACCGAGAAAACAAATTTTCAAATCGAATAAAAATTGAGGGAAATGGTAATCCGAAGTAGATAGCACTTGCCTCCCTAACAAGCTTATTCTATAAAAGCCTGTTCGAAAGACATAACGTTTTTAGATTATGGTTTCTTTATAAAAAAAAAAAACAGCTGGTTTGTTAACGTTGTGTGAACCGCAGGATCTCTAATAAAAGTTTAAGAAATGCGATAGAAAGCTATTTCCAATATATCAAGGAATAAACTGTAGGAAAAATTGTATTTACACAGAAATAAGGTTTAGAAAATTGTTCGACATATTTCATTGTCATAGAGAATTTTTAACGTATAATTTCTAATACATATTATCTACTATTAACATTATTACTATTACAGTAATCGCTTGGCAGGTTTAGCCATTTGCAATTTG